TATATATATATATATATATATGTATATATATTATGTATGTATATATATATATATTATATATATATATATAATATATATATATATATATATATATATATATATGTGTGTATATATATATCTATCTATCTATATATATATATATTATATATATTATCTTCTATATATATGTATTATATATATTATTATATATATATATATATATATATATATATATATATATATATATATATATATATTTATATATTTATATATATATATATACATAAAATATATATTATATAATATATATATAATATATATATTATATATATATAAATATATATATATGTATGTATGTACATATAATATATATATAATATATAATATATATAATATATATATATATATATATTATATATATTATATATATGTGTGTATATTATATTATGTATCTATCTATATATATATATATTATATATATATCTTCTATATATATGTATTATATATATATATATATATATATTATATATATATATATATATATACACATTGTATATTATATATACACATTGTATATATATATGTATATATAGAGAGCAATAGATAGATATATACACAGTTAGATAGATATATACACACACACACATGGATGCATCAACAGACCCATGGATCCACCCACGCATGCATGCATCCAGACACCCACACATCCATCCACACACGCACACAGTCCTTCTCATGACATCTAGATTTTACTGAATGAAGCATACTTTACTTGGGTTTTGAATTTAAATTATACTGTAAGTGACAAAAACAGATAATATCATACACGCACACATACACGATCATTAAAAACATTTAATACTTAATAAATATGCACATTACATATTGGATATGAAAATTTGGAATATGCTTTCAGTTTTATTTAATACAATCAACTGCCACTAACCAAGAAATCCTGGTTCTCTGTGATTCTTTCATAAACCTGTAAGATACATCACTGATACATAAATGGTCTTTTATTCAGAAATCTCTCATCCCAAATTTGTAAAATTATCACTTGGCATAGGAAATGAGCCTTTATATATATTAGGACCAAAGTATATGGGTATATCTGGCAAAGACTCATCACACTACAGTCATATAATGTGAATATTATGCATTTTCTTTCAATCATAAAAGCACTCGAAGGCACAGGAATCCTAAGTGAATAGAGGGTGACGTAAGATTATTTGCATTATCAAACAACCATTTACAAAAGAGGCAAACATATCATGATCCTATACAAAATAGTAGTTCTATATCTACCACTGTCATAGGTCAGCAAGGTCACAACCCAATCACAGAGTCAGTCATCTATACTTTTTTCCTGAGAGTACTTTATACTTTTTACGATGCATGATTTAGCCCAAAACCTGAGTGACTTGATTTTGTTGTGTATTTTCTGAGATTTCATCCAGTACTTTGTTTTACTGTACAAATAATTTAAATTTCTATTTCTAGATATGGAATTAACTTCCACTAATTTTACAATGAGCCAAAGAAGAGCATATTACTAATACTTCATAAAATGAATATGAAAGAAAAAGTGAAACAAGAAACAAGTGAAAAATGTATCCAATTACAAAAGGAGACTGACAGAAACTTCATGATGGCAAACAGTAACACAGTGATATCAACAACCCTCACCCAGAGGAGACTATTTCTATGCCTACCATCTTCAACTTGTAGAAACACAGAATACCGTCTCTAGGTGACTGCAGAACATGAAAACCAGATGATGCTAAAAACATTATATGCCTACTGAACTTTATGACTCGCATGACTACCAACACACTGAAATGGGGAGAAAAAAGAATAAGTCCATTTCAGACTGGTTTCAAACCTGTTGAAAGTATTAAAACCTATGCACTTGATCAATAAACACAACTAATAACAATGCATTTTCTTTTATTGAGCACTTAGATGGCATAATATAGATCTACTCTAGAGGCAGATAATTTATATGACTAAACTAAGGAAGAGCATACCAATAAAAGACACTCCAGTGATGCTCAATTAAATGATACCAATAGAAATTTAATAATCAAAGAAGAACACATCTAAGGCTTACCACCCAATAAAATTGCAGCTTATTGCCAGACAACTTATAATTTCTCTGAGAAAAATATGTGTACATGTTTTCTTTCTGGGAGAGAAAAGAATAGGAGGAAGGGGAGAGAGAAGGGGAAAGGAAGGAAAATGAAGGACAGAAGTAAGAGGATAGAAGGGAAGGAGAAGAGGGAAAGGAAATAAGGGAAAGAAGAGAGTGAGGGTTTCCTCGGCATCAGTCTTAGCCTAATAGTTGTCTTGCTAATCTAATGAGTTATTTCCTACATCTAAAACATGAACTATATCATAATGTGAGAAATAATATAACTGGGGGAATAAATACTTAAATTCAACAGACAAATCCAATGAAAATATTAGAAAACTTCTCTTACTGATGACTATATTTGTGAATGCAACACAAAGAAAAAAACTTAAATGATAAAAACCATAACTGCAATAACAATAATAATAAAAAAATAATAACAATGACAATAATAAAAAAAAAAAATTATTATTATTATAGTAATAATAATAGTAATATAAAATAATTATTTGTTTGTATTGCTAATAATATTAGCAGTAATCAAATTGTGGGATAAAAACAAATAAATCAATAAATGAAAATTGAAAATAATAAAGTAATAGTAATAATAACTATCACTACTGTTATTATTGTTACTATAACAGTTATAATAACAAAAAATAATAATGGTAATGATAATTTTTTAAATAGTTATAAAAAATTGTGTTTCAATTACATATTCTTAACAGTAGTTATAAAATCTTATTTCACATATCTGTGACCAAGAGATAAGTCCATTATTTTTTTAGTATTAAAAATCACAAGCAGAACCACAGCCTCGTACCGAACTTTTATGCCTCTCAGTCATTTAAAACAAATATTAAAAATATGAATGTTAAAATCTTATTGATTTTTTAAAAAATAACCAGTGTTTTATAATTTTAGTGAAGTATCAATTTAAAGGAAGGTTTTAAATTTTCTTTAAAAATGAAAAATAATCTGAAGATTAAAAGCGCTTCTGTGCTAAAAAACACTGAAAGCTTTTAAGGAAACTTGAAAATTAAGAATCCTTTAAAATCTATAAAATATCTCCAGCCAGATCTCAAATCAGCTAAAACTATGAGAATGTCAAATAAAAGAAAATAAGAATGAAGAAAAAAGGGAGAGGTAAAAGATGTGGAAAATTACTAAAAGGGGAAAACAAACATTGCCACAGATCCCATGACATTGCACATTCTTGTATGGTTGGAGAGGGAGGAGGAAAAAAGAGAGGTAGGTGGAATGGGGGTAGGGAGGGGGAGGGGGGAGGGAGGGGGAGGAGGGAGGGGGGGGCAGGTGGGCGGGAGAGAGAGAGAGAGAGAGAGAGAGAGCAGAGAGAGAGAGAGAGAGAGAGAGAGAGAGAGAGAGAGAGAGAGAGAGAGAGAGAGAGAGAGAGAGAGAGAATAATCTCTTTCTCTCTCATCCCACACTATTTCCCTGCCTCAACCCTGTGCTCCATTGACCACACACTCCCCCTCTGCCACTTTGTTGTCCCTCTCAGCCACCTGTCGATACATGCACTTGATAGCTGCACCAATAGCAGCCGCTGTGTCCTCCGCAGAAGACTTCTCTAGGACTGGCACATGGATGAAAGCCACTCGAGACTTGTCTTGTTTCAAGGAGGTGTAGTAAATGAAGTCACACAGATACCTAAATTGGAAGAGTTTTTGGCATTAGGGTGTTTAGTAAATGGGTGTAATAGATGATTAATAATGATGTACCTGAACATGCTGTATATAGATATGTATCAGTTAATTATTAACCCAATGTCAACAGGAAAATGGTGCGTTCCCTTTGGCAATGCAAATGTTTCAATTCACAGATGGCTCTGCCAATGCTTAGCCACAAAGGAGTCAATTAGTAGATCTTGCGACCTTGCTTTTCGTTGAAAAAGCCAGAAAACATTTTTTTTTTTTAAAGAATGCTATCAATATTGACACTTATTTTTATTATAAACATTACTATATTGTTACTGACATTACTAACAACAGTATTATATAATAGAAAATATTGAAAATCAAGGAAAAGGGTAAACTTGTGAGATGTAGTTTGCGTAATTGAATCATTGGTGACTTAGTACTTGTGGAGTCATCTATATGTAAAAACAATTACCAAATTCAACACATACAATGGGCAATGGCATGTACGTACATGCCATGCCCGGTGGCTTGGTGTTAACCCCTATGATCTAGATGACATAACCATCATGTCATCAAAAATTTTGGCTTGAAGGGCAGATGCAGTGAACATGCTGTCATGGGAAAGTTTGGCTGTGGACTTGGGTGATGGGAATGACTAACCATAAGTGCACAAAGCTCTTGGGCGGTGAGTAGACTCATTAGGCATTTAGGAAGGGGCTTTTGCATTATTTCCACTGCTAAACAAAAGTGGAATGTTCTATATGTGAGCTATGACTGGAAGAGAGCCAGTGCCAGAAAGGAAAATATTTCCATGCTCAGGATCCTATTCCTGGCCACCATGACTGTCGGGGCAGGTTGCATTACAGAAAATTGAATATTATGAAAAACATTTAAAGTGAGAGATGATATGGGGACTGTGCAAGGAAAACAGTCTATTACCATCTGGATAGAGCAAATGGGAAATATAGAAACTGGAAAATTGCAAAAAAGCTATAAATGCTTCAGCAGATAAAGAGAAAATAACAAAGAAATTATTACAAACGGGAGTCCTGTCATGCACTAGAGTGTTTACGTGCACCAGGCCTACAAGCTGCAAACTCACCAGAGTAGCCCCTTCAGTAAGCCTAATGCCCATGTTTTGGGCCACGTGATGAAAATAAAGCATCCATATCCAAAGAGTTAATATAAGGACATTCAAGCATATAATGCATTCTCTCATTCACCACTGTTGTTGGAAATTCAGCAATTGAAAAGACTAAAAGCTTAAGAAGTTGGGTTCCACCAACCATTGTACCTCTTACTTCCAAGCCTGACACTGTGTGTCACTCATTACACTTGAGACCCATTCAAAAATGTACCTTAACAAGATTTACCATAACCAAGATCATAAGAAGAACATCATGTCATTGTAAAGACAGATGGTAAAAAAGAAATATTGCAACATAAACAGACCATGGAGTCAGTTTTTGATTAATCAAAGCTGCAGTTGGTAAGGGTTCACTACAAGAAACATATATATAAGTGTACATAACAAAAATAATATAATAGTTAATGGTCTTTCTACATAATGCAGTAATTAACTCCTTGGAGCAATCTATGAGGTAAAATATTGTAAAACAAACACATGCCCTCATCAACTCATTACAAGTAAATTCTTACCCTCCCTCTTACCTGCTTCACCCCCCCCCCTCTTCCCTGCTTCCCTCCCCCTTTCCTCCTTCCCTTCCCCCTTTCCTCCTTCCCTTCCCCTTTCCTCCTTCCCTCCCCCTTCCCTGCTTCCCTCCCCCCTTCCCTGCTTGCCTCCCCTCTTCCCTGATTCCCTCACCGTTTCCTCCTTCACACCCCCTTTCCTCCTTCCTCCCTCCCTTCCCTACTTCCCTCCCTCCCTTTTCCTACCCTCCCTCCCTCCCACTTCTCTTATTCTTTGTCCCTATCCAGAATGATCCTTCCTTTCATTTGACTCACAGCTCCTACCTTCCTGCATCGGTCGACTTTGCACTGGACAGCTTCAAATTAGTGTCTCTGTTGATGGCGCAGGTGACTAGGTCCATGCGGATCTCTGACTGCAACATGTCTTCCCCTCCTGTGGGATATGGTATATATATATATAAGAGAGTGATGTAAATGTGTGTATGTGTGTGTGTATGTATTATGTATGTATGTGTATGTATGTATGTATGTATGTGTGTGTGTGTGTGTGTGTGTGTGTGTGTGTGTGTGTGTGTGTGTGTACGTGTGTGTGTGTACGTGTGTGTGTGTACGTGTGTGTGTGTTACGTGTGTGTGTGTGTACGTGTGTGTTGTGTACGTGTTGTGTGTGTGTACGTGTGTGTGTGTGTACGTGTGTGTGTTGTGTACGTGTGTGTTGTGTACGTGTGTGTGTGTGTATACGTGTGTGTGTGTGTACGTGCGTGAGTGTACGTGCGTGTGTGTACGTGTGTGTATGTACGTGAGTGTGTACGTGTGAGTGTACGTGTGGGTGTGTGTGTGTGTAGTGAATCCTGGCTTACCTTGTACACAGACCTCCCGGTGTGGAACCGAATTGCAGTTATCCTTCCTATTGTAACCACAATTGTGAGATACCTGTTCCAGAGTGAGTGTGCACACCTGGCTTGACACTCCCACATGAACCACAAGCTGCAAGGAAAGGAGTGGGAATTGAGAATAGTTGAAAAAAAAAAAAAAATTCTCCTTTTTTGTTAGTGTTTAATTGGATACTGCTTCCCTTTTTGTATTTCATCTGATTCAGCTTCAAGTCTATTATTAATCTGTTGATCTTAGTCTATTTGTTTCTTTGCTTTTTTTTTTACTGTATGTTGATGTCTGTTTCAATGGCTCTCCATTGGCTCACCTTTGGCCTTAGCTCCTTCCACCTCTTGGGGATGACCTTGCTCACGTAGTCATACTCTACCTTCATGACCTCAACCACAAGACTCGCCCCAAGCTCCTCCCCTATTCCTGTTTCACGTAGCCTCTCCACTGCGCGCTGGCTAGCATTTACGGCATGGGGTGGGAAGGGTTCAAAGCCAGTTACATATATCACAGGTCGTTCATCTGTTTCAATCTCTGTCTCAGCTGGCAGCGCGGAGGCCATCCTGCACTAAGTTCCTGGTGAAGATACAGGCAAATCCCTTTTCTTGGCCTGTAGAAAGGAAGGTATAAGTATTTACATGTGTGTATGTACATGCATATATATATATATATATATATATATTATATATATATATATATATATATATATATATATATATATATATATATATATATATATATAAAGAGGGTGCATACAGTCAATATGCATAACTCACATAACATATATGCAAGCATTTTCTGTCCCTTTCTCTCTCTCTCTCTCTCTCTCTCTCTCTCTCTCTCTCTCTCTCTCTCTCTCTTCTCTCTCTCTCTCTCTCTCTCTCTCTCTCTCTCTCACACACACACACACACACACACACACACACACACACACACACACACACACACACACACACACACACACACAAACAGGTAGAAAACTTGCGTAGAAGCACAACTATTCAGAGAGAAAATATGGAAAAATCTGCCCAGAAAATTAAAGAACTAAAGGAAAAGTTAGAAGAAACTGAAACCAAAATTGGCAACGGTAGTGAAACCGAAGCAAAAAATCTACAGGAAAAAGTTGAGGAGGTTCTTAAAGTACAAGAAACTGTCAAACAGATCAAAAGTAATTTGTCAAGCAGCCAAGCACAGGTAATGGAAGAAGCTAAAAAGATGACAGCTACATATGCTGATGTATCAAAGGTAAAGGTAACCGTAAATGAAATGGAAAAAAAAGATTGAAAAGGACATCAAGACCATAAAGGAAGAAATTAAGACACAGCTTGCAGAAATGATAAAGAAGAACAAATTCAAATCCCACCTTGGGCAATATGCAAGAAATATTGCTAATTTGGCTGACGTAAACAAGGACATAGTAATTTTGGGACATGAATAAAAAGTTGTAGAAGATGGAATTGAACGATACAATGAAGACATGAAATTAATTGTAGACATTCTCAAGGTCATAAATCCCGAATTCGCTGAGCAGAATATGAAAATGAAAATGAGCTCACAGGAGGCTGGGATTATTCGAAAAGGGAAAGAAACGGCCTCTAAAAGTAACATTCTTGAATAAGCAAATGGTAACTGAGATAGTAAAGAAAGCCAAAGTTCTGGCCACCCATGAGGAATAAAAAAATAATAAAATAAAAAAAATAAAAAAAAATAAAATAAAAAAAATCTGGATAAGAGAAAATATGACTAAAGATGACAGAGTAACACTACGAAAGACATTGGAAGAAGTAAAACAACAAAAATGAAGAAAGACTGAAGAGGAAAAAACTTGTTTATTTGGAGGGGGAGAGGTCTCCAAGCAAAGCAAATACTATCGGATCCAAAATGTAGAGATAGACAATCATTAACCCTGCAGACAAAAGATTATATAGAAATATTATATAGAAATAGTGTATACAAATATTGATAGTTTATCTTCGAAGTTGCTTGAACTATAAAGAAGGAGTGGAAAAATTCATATCAAAATTCAAAATTGAAGTAAGCAATGGCCAAAAATGGTTCAATGACAAATGCAAGAAAATGAGAGAAAAAATGCATCTCCTCTGGAAAAGATTCAGAAGACATAGATCTTAGGCAGCGTATGAAGAAATGAGTATACCCAAACCATGAGAGGCAAAATTAAACTTTGAAAAGGATATAATCAACAGATGTACAAGTTAACCAAAACTCTTCTTTAACTACATAAATAGTAAAACTAAGAGTAGAGATCAAATTAGCACCATCAAAGACAATAACATTATATATTGTAAGGAGGAAGAAATGTGTGAAATCTTAAATGAGAAATTTCAGTCAGGATCCATACTTTGATATGGCAAATACTCGTACAAACATAAAGAACATTGAAAATATCACCCTAAAAAAGAATGAAATAAAAGATCTACTAAAAGGATTAGACACGACTAAAGCAGAGGAACCAGATGAAATTTCTTTATGAAAGACAAATGAGCACAGTAATTAGAGGGAAGCATTCTACATGGCAACGAGTAACCAGTGGAGTCCCTCAAGGATCGTTGTTGGAGCCGATTATGTTTACTATTTTCGTCAATAATTTAGAGCCAAACATAAGCCCGGGTAGTTATCTGAATATGTTTGCATATGATGCAAAGATACAAAAAAGGATAANTATAATATATTATATATTATATATATATATATATATATATATATAATATATATATATATATATATATATATATATATAATATATATATATATATATATATATATATATATAATATTATAATATATATATAATATATATATATATATATATATATATATATATATATATATATATATATATATATATATATATATATATATATATATATATATATATATATATATATATATATATATATATATATATACATATATATATATATATATATATATATATATATATATATATATATATATATATATATATATATATATATATATATATATATATATATATATATAGTATACAACTACCCAGACACAAGTACGTTTCTCTTTCTTACAGGGTCATCGTATCCCAGGAGGGACAACTGTGATGAACAATTTATACAGCGTCCAAATGGACCCTGAATACTGGGGCGACCCTGAAAACTTCCGTCCCGAGCGCTTCATCAACGCGGATGGAACCTTCCGCAAGGACGAGCGAATGATTCCTTTCGGCAAAGGTAACAACTTGGTTAAAAAAATGTTTCTCGAAGTCTTATTGCTACAAGTATCGTTCTCTCGTCTTTGACTTGCACCGTGTCCTCAATCTTTCTGGTGTATCATCTCTCATAGGTCGACGGCTGTGTCTCGGAGAGCCTCTCGCTCGCATGACGTCGTTCCTGCTGTTCGCGGCGCTCGTGCAGCACCTGGACTTCGAGCTCGACCCCGCCGTCCCCGTCACCAACACGGAAGGCGTCGCAGGGTTTACGCTCGGCCCGCCGGAGTTCAGAGTCTTTGCTAAACGCAGATGTTAAGAAAGGCTGCTTCTAGATTTATATGTTCTATATTTCTCGTTTTTAAATTTACAGTAGCACTAATTATTGCATAACCTTTTGCATTTTATCATGGCATGTATAATAAAGTTCCCCACCTGAGTTCATTCCTACAGTGGTAATATTTTATTTTATTCCGACCATTACTGGAGTAATTTCTGCTAT